CTCTGCAGCCCCCGCCCAGGCCGCCGCCGCCGACCCCGCCGCCGCCATTCGCCTTCGGTAAGATCCCCAGGCCCCATGTGACCTTCTTGTGCCATAGGTTCCTCTCAGGGCGGCAGCCTCCCTGCGCCCCATGTTTGTGTCCCTGGAGGGGGGTGGGGAAATGCTTTCTGAGTTAAATTTGCTTTCAGAAACCTTTCTCCACATACGGGTTTGGATTGGGTGCCTTTTTGCAAAAAGGTAAAAGAGAGAGAAAAGAGTGGGTGGTGAAGATGGCTTTCAATATTTAGCTACAATTTTTGCCGTTCCATCTTGCAAGAAAAAAAAAATGGCCTCCGGTCTGCTTAGCTGGGGCGTCTTGTGGAGACATTGGCCCTACTGCGCTTGCGCAGCTCTTCCCGCTCTTTTCTTGGGCTGCAGGCACCTCCCCACAAAATGTCTCTGTGGGTGGGCCAGCGCCATGCTGACCGCGCCTGCGCACTTCCCCCCATTTCCAGGAGCTGGAGGCTTTTCCCAGAAGACCTCCCTTCCGCTGTGCCTGCCTCCAACCCGCCTGCGCGCCCTTTCCCGCTCTTTTCTTGGGCGGGAGGCTCCACTGGCAGGACTTCCGGCAGACGGATGGGCTTTCTAAACTATGACTGCGCCTGCGCACGCTTCTGGTCTTTCTGAAGGCCCCGCCCTACATCGGAGCCCTGGCCCAATGCGCCTGCGCACCTCATTTTGTGCCTTTTCCCTGGATGTGGGTGGGGATGCGACAGTCTTTCTGCTCCACGGAGGAGGAGAAGATAGTTCATTGAAATATTGTCTATTTTTTCTCCTGCCCACCATGTGCATAAGTTACAATGTTCTTTATGTAACAATTGTAAATTATGCTTTCGCTATTAAATCACAACTTCAGGTCACATGTAGGTCTGAGGCTTTTAAAAAACGGCCATCTTAAAGTGCAGACCCCTGTTGGTTTTCCCTATGGTGTGCCAGTCTCCCACCCATGGGCTAAGGAGATTGGCTTGGGTGCTCCCCGACGGCCATTTCTGTCTCCTGGGATGTTCTAGGAAAGTCTGGTCTCCAGGGAACTAGATGGGGAGGACAGACCTGAAACAGCAGTCCTATAGGAGAAGAATACCTTTCCACTGGCACATGCTTCCTTATTTCCTCTCTCCACGCACAGGGGCTGAGCACCTAACTGTGCCAGACATAGTGGCAAAAGGTGGGGGGGAGTCAGATTCCTTCCCTAAGCATCTCGTCCTTGTGAGGGGAACAGCACTACTAAAGAATCACACATCAGTGTAGAGAGCTCTAACAGTTAACGGCTTAGCTGAGGTCTTAGGAGGAGGAGATGCTGAGGACTAGGAGGCAAAGTGGGCTGAAGGGAGAGCCCTCCAAGGTTAGGGAACAGCATCTGCAAGGGCTTTGAGGGGGACGAGAGAGAAGAAGCTGCCAGGTCATCGCACTGGAGGAGGCTGGAGTGGAGGCAGGGTCAGCCGCCTGGGGCTTCATGGCTGTGCTGAGGACTTCTTCTAAGAATGTGGGAATGGCTGAACGCTTTAAAAAGCAGGGAGGGTGAAAAGCATAGTGGATGTGGGAGCCCTTTGTAAAAGGACCTGAATGTTTGCCCCGTCTTTGGACAGTAATGTGATGCTTGTTCCCTCGCTCTTGGTGTTTTGAATACTTCTCCCATTGCTTGCTCTTTCAGGGCTCTCTCTGAGCATCAACTCGGATGCTATGGTGCGGTCTGAGTACCTGGAGAGAGAGCCTTCCAAGCTGTATCCCAGCTGCTCTGGCATGTACTATCGCCCGTTCCCGATGGGCTACCAGGATCCATCCCCGGGCCTGGGCATCTCCGTGCAGCAGGGCTTCCGGCACGTGCCCTTCAGCCACTACCATGGAGGAGGCTCGGTGAGTCCCATCCTGACTCCTTTCTGGTTCCTTCGTATCCCATCTGCACTGCTGCTCTTACATATGCTCAATCCCAGAAAGCCATTGGTGTGCCCGCTCTGTGCCAGGCCCCTCGGCCTGTACCGTGCGCGCCTCTGGGAGTGCACACATGTAGGTGAGTCTCATCATGTGTAGACGGGTCAGCCTGCGCTGTGGCATTTGCTTTTCAGAGCTGTAGGCCAAACGGCTCTGGGAGCTCAGGCAAGAAGGAACGCAGACACGTAGGTAAACCTGGGAATACCAAGTGACCACCCGCCTGGACGCGTGGAATGCTGGGGCCACAGGGCTCTTCGTTTTGCTGGTACCAGGAGGGCAATGCCACTGTCCTGGTGCCATACTGTTGAGGGCAGAGCCAGGAGCAGCTGTAGGGCCCCTGCCCAGGGTATGGCCCACTTGGGACTGCAGAGGGTTTTCAAGAGGAAATGGCATTTAAGCTTAGTCATGAAAAATATGGAAACCTTTCCCCAAACACCTATCCCCTGAGGATCTATGTGTTGAAAGAAGGAATGAGATGTAATCCCTTTATGAGGTCAGTGGTGAGTTACTAACTGGTGTGCTCTGTAAGCGCCTACAGTAGCAGTCAGACATCCCTTCACAATCCGGGACTGCTGGCTGCCAACCGCTTGCCTGCCTGAGTGCCCCTAACCACTCCCCTGCCGGCCTGGTCATCCCCAACTGCCCTCCACTGCAGGCCCGGTCGCCCCCAACAGTCCTCCCTTGCCAGCCATCTTGTGGTGGCCATCTTGGGACCACATTGGGGCGACCATCTTGGGACCACATGGGCGTGGCCATCTTGGGACCACATGGGGGCGACCATCTTGGGACCACATGGGCGTGGCCATCTTGGGACCACATGAGGGCGACCATCTTGGGACCACATGGGCGTGGCCATCTTGGGACCACATGAGGGCGACCATCTTGGGACCACATGGGCGTGGCCATCTTGGGACCACATGAGGGCGACCATCTTGGGACCACATGGGCGTGGCCATCTTGGGACCACATGGGGTGGCCATCTTGGGACCACATGGGGTGGCCATCTTGGGACCACATGGGGTGGCCATCTTGGGACCACATGGGGTGGCCATCTTGGGACCACATGGGGTGGCCATCTTGGGACCACATGGGGTGGCCATCTTGGGACCACATGGGGTGGCCATCTTGGGACCACATGGGGTGGCCATCTTGGGACCACATGGGGTGGCCATCTTGGGACCACATGGGGTGGCCATCTTGGGACCACATGGGGTGGCCATCTTGGGACCACATGGGGTGGCCATCTTGGGACCACATGGGGTGGCCATCTTGGGACCACATGGGGTGGCCATCTTGGGACCACATGGGGTGGCCATCTTGGGACCACATGGGGTGGCCATCTTGGGACCACATGGGGTGGCCATCTTGGGACCACATGGGGTGGCCATCTTGGGACCACATGGGGTGGCCATCTTGGGCGGCCATCTTGGGACCACATGGGTCGGCCATCTTGTGTGAGAATGTGACGGTCAATTTGCATATTACTGCTTTATATAGGACAGTGATGGTGAACCAATGACACGCGTGTCAGAGGTGACACGCAAACTCATTTTTTTGGTTGATTTTTCTTTGTTAAATGGCATTTAAATATATAAAATAAATATCAAAAATATAAATCTTTGCCCTAACTGGTTTGGCTCAGTGGATAGAGCATCGGCCTGCGGACTGAAAGGTCCCAGGTTCGATTCCGGTCAAGGGCATGTACCTTGGTTGAGAGTAGACCACTAGGGTATAATTCAGTGATGGCGAACCTATGACACGCGTGTCAGAGGTGACACGTGAACTCATTTTTTTGGTTGATTTTTCTTTGTTAAATGGCATTTAAATATATAAAATAAATATCAAAAATATAAGTCTTTGTTTTACTATGGTTGCAAATATCAAAAAATTTCTATATGTGACACGGCACCAGAGGTTAAGTTAGGTTTTTCAGAATGCTGACACACCAAGCTCAAAAGGTTCGCCATCACTGATATAGGATCATTTTCCATTGATTCAAGGGGGAAAGGTCTGGAAACCACTGGTCTTGATATTTCTAGGGTGCCTCCCCCTCTATTTGAGCCTTCAGAGCATGGGATATAATTCCATTGTAGGGAAGAGGAAGTTATGGGTTTGTCCACCGTCACAGAACGAGTGAGTGTGGCACTGGGATCACAATTCACAGCAGATTAGCGACAGAGCAGGATGCACACTGGACTTTCTGCTACCCTGAGCCTGTCTCTCAGACAGAGGTAAACAAAACGCCCACCGCCCTGCCCCACCGGAAATCTGGGTGCTGGCCACCCCCTTGCAGCCCAGGGACAGCATGGCCGCTCCAGCCTCCACACAAAGAGGGGTTCTGGCCAAGTGGAGCGTGCACCCACCGTCTGCTCACACAGAAGCCTGGCGTCCGGAGCAGCGCTGACTGACGGGCCTGCCAGACGGCCATTGTCAGGGTGTGATCTCAGCCAGTTTATCAGGCCCCAGGCAGGAGCTGTGATCCAGGGAGAAACGGCCAAGTCGCTTGGAATTAAAGGGCCAATAATCCCCCTCCTACCCTTTCCTGTCTGGATCTCGGATCCAACATTTAGTTGTAAAGCTGTTTAAACCCAAGAGCCTATGAATTGCTTCGAACCATGTCCTGCTCCCCCTGCCCAGGCTCCGAGATGACCCCCAAGACTCTTCCACCTTTTGTTTCTATCTCTGTCCCACCTGCTGCTGCTTTTGTTCTCCTCCCACAAAAGATCCCAGGCCTGGAGCTGGACAGGCCTGGGTCCCCTCGTCCTTCTCTTACCAGCTCTGGCCTCGGAGGACCTCGCTCGGCTCCGTCTGTCAGCGGGGCCTCGGGAGAGGAGGGTGTGATGCGTGTGAAGGGCCTGCACGGGTCTGGCACGTAGTAGGTCCTTGAGAGTAGGCTTCCTCTCTTCTTTGTGGTCAGATTAAGTTAGGACATGCTGGTTAGTCTAAGGCTTTTGAAGACGGCCTCGAGGCTTTAATGTGCTTACATGGGACTCACCATTGTGGTGAGTCAATATGTGGAGTTTCTCAAACTCCCTTGACAACGAACACTTTAGAAGCAGCTTAGAATAATCTTGTAGGACGCCAAGTTCTCTGGAACACAGCTTGTGAAGCGCTGCTCTGATGTATCTGGATGGAAGTAAATAATAGGAACTACACCTGACATTCATGACTATTTTCATCACATTCATGTCTTAGATGCGCTCTGAGCTATGTAGTCACCCCCCTCCAGATCCCTCCCTTCCAGCCTTGGGGGTTGGCTTCCATCTTCGGAAGAAGCAACAGAAGCACAGAATGGTGGTGGCTGGAGCCCCTTTTCCTGAGGTCAGCCAGCTTTTCTGACTCAGTCACAGCTGCACTCCACCCAGGAGAAGGCCCTGGCTCTGGAGTCTAAGTCATTGCCCGACAATGGACCACAGGTGGCTGGGATGCACTGGGACCCTGGCCGAGCGCTGAGCAGTGGGTCAGACAGACGGATCCAGTTCTGCCTCAGCCGCTCAGCAGCTTAGAGAGGGCGCAGTCAGGCCCGAACAGCTGTCCCCCAGGCTGATCTGAGGTGTGCCTGCGTTCTTTCTTGCCTTCAGTCATTTCTTTGCTGAGCACCCATTTCAAGTGCCTATGTCCAGCCCATGGGAGCCCCCAATTCGAGAGAGCATCATGTTTGATCAGCCCATCCGGCTAACCCTCTCCCCTGTTTGGCTTCTCTGCTCAGTGTGCCATGCAGGTGCCGGAGCCAGTGGAAAACTTCCAGCCAAGCTTTCCCCCGCGGCCGCCTCCGCCACCACCACCATCACCACTGCTGCCGCCACCACCACCACTGCTGCCGCCACCCCTGCTGCCGCCACCCCTGTCACCACCGCCCCCGTTCCTCCCACCAGGCTTCCTCACTGGGATCCATTTCCTTCCACCGCCGCCACCACCACCGCCACCGCCACCAGCATCTTTCTCACTGACCGTCCTCTCTGATGCGGACCAGGAGACCGCGGGTAAGAGCACCAGTCTTCCGCTTTGTGGGGGAGCCAGGAAGACTTTCTGGAGGAAGGGGTCTAATCAAAATAGATGTGGAGAGAGGGGTGATTGAGAACAGAATTAAAATGTGCTGGGCCTGGGATATGCTTTTTCCCTACACCCCTCCCCTAAATTCTATAGGCAGGCATCAAGGAGGTGAGGAAACCAATAGAGCCCAGAGGGGTTCTTGTAGATATAAATGGCAGAGCTCAGATTTCAACAGAATTATGTGTCTGGCTCTATTAGTGCCCCTGGGCAAAGATGTGGAGGGAGGTGTGTGTGGTGTGTTCAGACCAGAGGTGCCAGGCCTCTCTGGCTGGGGAAACGACAAATGCCGAGCCTGGCACAGCAGCAGGAGCCAGTGTACGCCTGGTAGGGATGATTCCTCTCCTCAGGCCACTCTGGAGAGAGAACCTGACCAGGAGCGAGAGACCCTATCCTTCTTAGCTCTGCCCTGATGCACTGGGTGATCTTAGGCGCTCACACACCCTTCTCTAGGCCTCAGTCTTTTCATCTGTAAAATGGGCCCCTTCACAGGGTTACTGTGAAGGTCAACTGAAATTTTAGATGTGAAAATGCTTTGAGGAATTTGTTTTTTTAGGGCCCTTTGCAGAATGAATTTAACCATCTCTGGGTTGTGTTACTTATACATTCAAGGATTTTTTTTCCTTTTAATTTTCCCCTGAGGTTAGTCTGGTGATGTCTTTCTCATTTTACCGAAGAGGAAACTGAGGCCTGTTGCACACCTGCTGTGTGTGAGATGCCTACATCTGTTAGCTGGAGAGATGGTCAAGTGTGGCTTGAAGCTTGCTGGCGCTGGTGCTGGCCTGGGCGTAAGTCCTGGCTCCAGCACTTACCAGCTGTGTGGCCTTGGGCAAGCCAGTCCACTCCTTGGTGCCTCAGTTTCAGTGTCTGTCGCAGTGGACTGGTAATGCTCCCCACCTCATGAGGTTATTCTGAGGATTAACCAGAACCTGAAATGATGAAGCCAATAGTGGAAGTTAGTTCTCACTGTTCCCCCTGCTCCCATGCTGACCTGATGTTGCAAGGTGGACATCGTTTCATTTACAGGAGGAACTGGTTCAGAGCTTCCGGTAGCTTGTTTCATGCCACCCAGTCTGTGGCAGGCAGAACTTGAGCCTGTATCATATGAGGACTAGAATTCCAGCCTCCTGACACCTAGCAAATCCAAGGCAAATTAATTCTCCTTAGGGCCTGGGAATGATGAGAAGCCTTGTAGAAAGCTTACACCTGAAAATAGGTAATTTTTCCTATTTCTAAATGCATCCCCTCTTTTTTGTTCTTTGCAGATGACCAGGTTGCAGGGATGCCTCGTGAGCCCAGCCAGCCATCGTCTCAGGAGCAGTCCGACTAGGCCCCGGGCCTCTGGCCAGCAAAATGGGGCATCGGGAGGGTGACAGCAATCATTTTCTTGTCTGTGTTCAGTGATGTTAGGGAGGGTGGACAGTGATAGACATAAAATAGAGTTAATTCCCATTTCAAGATAGGAGGAAAGAGGGTGGTTTCTAAGTTTCAATCCTGAAATATGAGCTGGAACAGGAGAGTGGAGGATGACGTTAACCAGGGGAAGACCAGGCCTCTGAGGAGTCGGGGCTGATGGGAACTCCCATTTAGGAATGAATTTAACCATCTCTGGGCTGTGCTGCCTTTTATGCGACTCGCCCTCAGAAGCGTTCTTTGATTTCCGCAGGCCCCACTGCAGGACAGGAGGCACCATGTATTTCAGCCTTCTGCCTCTGCCTGGTCCCAGGGGCTGGCAGCACAAACATCAAGCTTCCAGCACATCCAGGGGCTGGTGCGAGCAGCCAGGCAGGGCACTGACAGCAGGTTCTGGAGTGTCCTTCTCTGCTGCCCTGTTTCCCACTGCCCCTCGCCCCTTCTCCAGGGGCCTTTACTAGCAAGCATCGTGACCCCTGGGCTACTTCACCCCCCTCCCCTCCATAAAGTTTAAGCCATTTATAGGCATCTTTCTGGTTTTAAAAAATTCATTAACGTTTTATTACTTGCTGTTTTTATAGTGATTGCCAGCTTTAAAAAGTAGGCTATTTGTTCCCAGAATAGAATGGTGCTTCCAAAGTACCTGTGATGTCAGCACTTCTTCTCTGGGGCCAGTTGACTGTTGAAATAAAATGAGCAATGGAGATGCTGTGGAAGGTGTCTTCTCTCTTTAAATCCACGTGGAAGGCAGTGTTGGGTAGAGCAGTCGGGGCCTGGGTTTGTGGCCTGTCGGCCCGCTCCTACCACGTGCTTGCTTAGGCCAGTCCTTCCCTTCGCCCTCTCCCCTTCCCTTCAGTTATCAATGACTTGGGCCAGACTACTTCAGTTGTTGTTGTTATTATTTTAAGAAATGGAAACCTCTTAAGGAAATCTGATGTAGACACATCAAATGTAAAGATGACTTCGTTTCCCTTCCCCAGCTCCTTTCATGGTCCCTGCAGCGGGACATGGTTTTAAAATACAGAACTTGGTCCCATTCTGCTGTTTTAGGATCTTGGGGCTCTTCCCCTGGTTTCATTTGTTCCTTCATTTAAAAATCACCCGACATCTCTACTAGATTTAGAGCCTGACAATCGGCAGCCCTGCCCATGAGCGTGGAGTCTAGTAGAAACAGATACTGTCCAGTGGCATTGGGACTGGGACAGAGAGGAAGAGGAGCTGGGGATGGTCAGAGGAAGCCTGGAAAAGTCAGGGCTTCATCTGCCTTTTATTCTTTAATCCTCACCCAAGGATATTTTTTTCCATTGATTTTCAGAGAGAGTGGAAAGGAGGGGGGAGGGGAAGAGAAAGGGGGAGAGAGAAATATCAATGTGATGGAGACATATCGATTGGTTGCTTCCTGCACTTGTGGATCGAACCTGCAACCCAGGTACATGCCCTTGACTGGGAATTGAACCTTTGACCCTTTGCTGTACAGGCCAACCCTCTAAGCACTGAGCCATGCCAGCCAGGACCTCACCTTTTTAAAGAGCAAGAATGAGTTAGGTGAAAACAGGCACTCCCTATTAGGTGGGCAGAGAGAGGGAAAGGGATGTGGAGTGAAGGATTCCAGGGTGAGGAGCAGCATCTTGTTCTCCGTCCCGGGAAAGGCTGGCATGCAGGGGAACAGGTGACCTGCTTTCTGTCTTGCCTGTGGGCATGGGTGCCCAACCATCCTCCTAGGACAAGTAGCAGGAGGACCACTGAGAAGTAAGCTGTCCTCATCAGTGTGGTGGCTGGGGGTCCAGGACCGGGCCTGCTCTGTTGAAAGGCACTGGGGCAGGCACAGCCATGGGAGTTTTTCAGTGACTGCATTATAAACACAGTAGTTTCAGCAGGGAAAAGCCAGGCATTGGCTTCCGTCTGAACCGGATGGTGCAGTGATTTTGCATTAGCCTGGCTTAGTGGCTGAAGCTGTCAGCCACCCAAATGCTGGTCCTGCCCCCAGGGCCATAATCCACAGAAGCCCTGGGCGGGTAGGAGAAGACCTGACTTCCGGTTCCATTTAGCCCCACTCACCCTGCCCTCACTGGACCCCTGACCTTCAGTCAGTTGGCCAGGTGGGGTTGATCAGCCCTTGCTTTTTTTTTTTTAAATTGCACTTTGTTTTATTCTAGAGTCCATGTTTTGAAAGATTATTTTTCAACCAAGCTGCATCAGTAAAGCTGTTTTTCCGTTTCTGATCAAGTCTGACCAATTCAGACCAATGCAAGAAAACAGGATGTTAGTTAGCACATGGGGTTTGAGATGGGAAGCTGTGGCCTGGGAGAAAAATGTCCTGTTGCCTTATTGTAGGAGCCCATGTCCACGGGGCTCTCACTTCTCCAATAGGCCTGGGATCTGATGAACCTTGAGATGCTCTGCATCTTTCCTGGAGCCCTGAAGGTGCCTGCTGGGGTGAAAAGATCCAACTGTGGGGCAGGGACGGAGGCCTGGCTTCCTTCCCCCTGGTGGACAGAACCCCAAGTTCTGTCCTTTCCTGTGGGCTCTCACCATGATCCCTTACCCTGGTCAGCGGACCCCTGCGCCCTATAGCCTTGCCAGTCAATCCAGCCCATGCTCCTGAATGCCCTGCTCTTCCAGGCTGTTCTCTAGCAGCAGAATGAGCATTGAAAGAACAGATCTGCTCATGTTACTTCCTTGCTCACATGCCTTTCATGGCTCCCTACTGCTCAGAGTAAAGACCAGCATCTTCAAACCAACTGCCCGCCCACCTTTCCAGCCTCCTCTCCCTCACCGGCTGGCCCAGCCCAGGTTCTGCAGGGGAGGGGTCAGGCAGGAACGGGTGGGCTGCAAAGAGACCAGTGGCCAGGGGCAGCGCTGCTCATCGCAGATGGCGGAGGCTTGGCTGTAAGCCAGGAGGATGTCCCGGAAGGCAGCCGGCCGCATTCCCTGACGCCCGTGCACCTGCATGGCGCCGCCAGGAGAGGGCGTGCGAGCAGCGGCTGTGGGCGGGGCCGATGGAGGCCAGACCACTGTGGGGGCGAGGCCTATTGCCTAGCAACCTGCATCCAAGGAGAAGCTGCGAGCCAGCCTGGCTGGAGGAATAGGTTTCTGCAGCTGGGCCTTGACGTGACTGGAAGACGTGTATTCTAACTGGGAAATCAAAATGATAAGCCTGTAGGCTAGGCCAGCAATTTTCAACCTTTTTCATCATGGCATACGAATTAATTACGAAAGTTCTGCAGCACACCAAAAAAAAAAAAAAAAAAATACATTTTTTGCTGATCTGACAAAAAAGGCATAATTTTGATTTATTCACATAAGATGACTTTGTGTTGACTGTTGTCATTTCTTTATTTGACAATCTCAGGGGAAAGAGGTCAGTGTTTCTGACTCAGTAGTCAGGTATTGCATTGTTTTAAACCTCCTTGCAGTATGCCACCATGTAGTCACCAACCTCGCAGCAGTTGTCTTTGCACTGCCCTGCTGTGAAATCAATGCCCCCCTATCTTTGCCTTCAGACACCAGCTGGAACCCCAGCCCCCGTATCCCATGACATATTCCCCACTTTCTCTCCGTTCTGCACTTTTGCACACGCTGAGTCTTCTGCCTAGACTCCTTCTACCTTTACCAGCTCATCTCCTACTCATCCTTTCCAACTAAGTCCAGGACCCCCTCCCCCAGGCCTCCTCTACCTGGATTAGGAGGCTCTGCAGAGACTGCCCAGGCCCTAGCCCGCCCTCTGTCACACCATCCCACTGCGTAGATGTCCCTCCTACAAGTCTGTGGGCTTCCTGGAGGCAGTGTCTTCACTTGTCTTTGTGTCCCGTTTGTGGAGCTCAGCATTGGTTAGGCCAGTAGTTGCTGAGTGACTGTTGCAGAATAAATGGCTGAATTTCTGGGCCATCTTGTGGACTTTTGGGTGGAGGGTTGATTTGCTCTGCCTCAGGCCCCTCACACAGCATCTTTTGCCTTACATTTTTGCTCTGTCTGCTGGGACCCCACACAGGAAGTCAGCCTTCACCAAACTATGCTAAGTGAAGCACTGCACCCTTCCTCATTTGAGCCTCACAACAACCCAGGGAAGACATGGGTTGTGTTGCCCTCACCGGTTTGGCTCAGTGGATAGAGAGTCAGCCTGCAGACTGAAGGGTCCCAGGTTCGATTCCAGTCAAGGGCATGTACCTTGGTTGTGGGCACATACCCAGTAGGGAGTGTGCAGGAGGCAGCTGATCGATGTTTCTCTCTCATCGATGTTTCTAACTCTCTATCCCTCTCCCTTCCTCTCTGTAAAAAATCAATAAAATATATATATTTTTAAAAAGACATGGGTTGTCACCTCTATTTTATTTTACTTTATTTTATTTTTTTAAAATATATTTTATTGATTTCTTACAGAGAGGAAGGGAGAGGAATAGAGAGTTAGAAACATCTATGAGATAGAAACATCGATCAGCTGCATCCTGCACACTCCCTACTGGGTATGTGCCCGCAACCAAGGTACATGCCCTTGACCGGAATCGAACCTGGGACCCTTGAGTCCACAGGCCGACACTCTATCCATCGAGCCAAACCGGTCAGGGCTCACCTCTATTTTATGAAGAGACATGGAGAGGGATAGTAACTTTCCCAAAGTCACACAAATTGCAAGTGGCCCAGGGCATGCAGAGAGTAGCCTACATCCCTGGACACCAGTTCTAGAGCTTTAAACATCTGTTTTGCCCTGAGTTTTCATCTTGACGTGTTTTGAACGTGGACCACGTAAATGCACCCTAGATTCTGGGCAGATTCTAGGACGACTGGGGAGAGCGGCCTACAGACACCTGCCTCCTGACACCACTGGCCGCAGCACACAAAGCCTCCGGAGCGAACGCTGAAGTAGTCGTCACAGCGATCAGCCAGGGTCTCCCTCCTGGTGCCTGAGCCTCCGCCATGGCCTGGGCTCACCACAAGCCCCGCTGTGCCAGCTGGACTGACAGAGGGCTTGCTCCTGTGGCCAGATGGGAGCAAGGTGTGT